GACTCTTGCTCTTCCTTGTGACGGCATTCAGATAAATACACACAGGACTCCACAGTGAAGCAGATGCAAAACAGGGAAGACATTTCACTGAACACCGTATCTTAAACGGCTATAAATTGTTCCCCTCTCACTCTCAGAACTGTGCCACAGTCACAAATGTTTTGTGGTCTCATTTTACGTCACTGGAGAAGGGTTAAGTTGACAGAACAAGATATACTCTGCCTTGCTTTTTAACTTGCACAAAGAAACTAGGAATAAAAAAAGAAAAGAAATCCCCAAAGCAAGCACAAGATTGGGGTATTGTGTTAGACTGAAACTGCTCAAGAGCCATAGAGATCTTTGTTCGGATTAGTTTCTGTGTAACAGAGGAGTTACCAAGGAATTGGGTTACTCGCTCGTAAATTTGCAGAGTTGCAGAAATGGAAGCCGTAATAATAGTGCCTGGTGGTGAAAATGAAGCATCTCTGCAGTGTCTCACTTGTTTCTAGAGCTAAGGAAGAGACTCGGGTTCTCCTGTGAGTCAATGGAGGACTGCATGATCATGTTTTCATGTTCGTTGGATTGGAGAATGTCCCTTGTTCTTTCCTGAGAGCTGCTAGTTTAATTTGATACATACTTGTTTCAATAGAAAAGAAAACTTTTGATCCAGCTTAAAAAGCAGAGTTTAACAGTTATTTGCATGCTGACCTTCTGTGTTCAGGGATTCTGTCATTTACATGGCTTTATATCTTTTGCGTGTGTGTTGGCATTTGTTGTGGGGGTTTAATGGTATTAAGGTCAGATACTCAAATGCAGCCTTAGGAACCACATACCCATCCTGCCTGTGCCAATTTATCTATGTAAATCAGAGAGTTGTTTCTCAAATTATTTATAAGAATCTCCAAAAACCTATTTTTCTTTGTCTGTGTGTAATTGCTACATTATAGGACTTTGTTTAAGGCCATTTTAAAAACCAGTTTTCATAGAGCATGGGTTACAAGAACCTGAAAGAAAATATATCTCAGTTGAGATAGCCAGATCTTGTATTTGAATTAATGGACTCAGAGAAAAGTAGCTTGTTGAGCTTGGTATTCTTTCATTGAAAAGCATGTATTGATTACAGTCCAAGACATTTTAGTTCTCTTCCTTACACACTTTTCTGACTGCTGTTTCTGCCTGGATTGTTCTTCTTTATTTGAGAATAGTTGATGACTTCCGGGTGAACTGTGGCATAATTATCGAAGCTTTCAGCTGTGAACCTTTTAAAAATCTGACTCAATTTTTGCCCTCAGATTCCTGTGGTCTGTTGCTGATATTTTTCAGTACTGTTTCAAATAATGGCTTTTTAAAGGATGTCATTTTTTCATGTTCTAACAAATATGCTGAAATGTAGCATACAGATATTTTTCTGAATTGCTGCGAAGTACTTCATGGGTATAGCAGGGCTTGAAGCTTGTTGTTGGTTCATTGGCATTGTTTTGTGTGTTTTTCTTTAAAGGAACAGTTAATTGGAAAGCTATATGGCAACTGTCTGAAATTTCAGGCAATGTTTTATATTCATTATTCTGTGACCCAAATCCATTCTTGTGCTCTGTTGTGGATGACTGGCAGTTCCTAATTTAATTTATCCATATTCTTTCACAAATGAGATTTAATATATTCTTTTGTACTATAATATATAGTAAGTGTATCAAAGAACACAGGAGATGAGAAAGATCATCAGATTCTAAAGCTCCGGAGAATTAGTTAGAGAAATGTAGAAAATGTTTATGGATGCTGTTTGCAGAAAATGAACAACTATTGCCCATCTTTCTTGCCATACTGTCTATAATGTATTCAGACTTGAGGAGCTCTGTGCCACTTCAAGTATTTTCCTCTGTGTATCAATTATGATCTGATTTTTTTTCAAATTTCAGGTATTTAAAAACCATAATAGTGGAACATTTGCAACAGTATTTCTTATGGGAATGATCACTACGTTATGTATGTGCTTATTTTACCACTTTTATTCATCTTCAGTCTTTTTTAATATCTGATAATGAATCGTGTGGAACTTGAAGCCTGACTGAGTAGCACTAGTAACTGAAGTGTATACTAACTGAGGGTGACGTTATTAACCAGTCCTTTTTATTTATCTATGGAGAGCTTAAGGATTCCTGGACCATGAATTTAGCTCCAAGGCTTTTGGTCGTATGCTCTTTTTTGTTTGGTTTGCTTCCATCATCTATCTTTCAAGCAAGAAAACTAGGCCATCAATTCATTTTAGAAAGGGAGCATTGTTACTGGGTTGAAGAACACCGTATGTGCCCTAGCCGTTTATCAGATTCCTCAACAACTCAAAAAGCTTCTGTGGTTATTTAGGTAGGTGAAGCAAAAGGCTTTTTAAATGAATGGATTAGAATGTGAACCTATAGAAGTTAGTATATTTACTGACTATTCTTGCAGTAACACCCTCTAATGTTGTCAGATGAAAGTATGACTAGTCTGGTTTCCTCACTTCCAGTGCTTTAAAAATTGGATTTCTTTTGTACATTGTTGTCAGTAAAATCTATTTTGATGTTTGACTGTGCTTGAGTCACCTAATAGATGTTATTCCCCAGTTTTATGTAGTTCAGTGTAGGTTCATCTTAAAACTGTGTGCAACTTGAATTTCACATCTGTGTTCAAATTTTTATACTGCTGCCTTGCTATTGAAATGTCACTGTGCAAATTTGTCTTAATATTTTGACAGTCTTGCTTTACGCGTAGTCACAAAAGTTTGCAGACATGTCTAAGATGTTAGGCTAGAAAGTACTTCATTGAGGTATGACTGTATAAGTCTAGACCTTTTTTTGTCAGTCGCAGGGAGAGTGGTAATTTTCTTTTCGGACTTTGCTATCTTTGGTACTGGCTTTGCCTTTCGAGGAAAGTTTTCTCTGTACTGTCAGTAGCATGCCTGTACTTGTAACTGAGTACACTAGAAAAAAATGTCAGTGTGTGTCTCAACCACTCTAAACAGCCAACAAGTGGGTTTTTACATGTCCCGGGGCTGGAAAGAAACAATTACGGAAAGAAACTCGTTGCAGCTATGTCACAGGGAAAAGGAAACAGCGCAGGGCACAAAGCGTGAGGTTGAGTGAGCTTGTACAGAAAACAGACACACTGGGGTAACATCCTTTGACACTGGCTGATTAAAAATAGGAAAACAAAGGACAGAAATACCATGGTGCAGACAACACAGTGATATCCTCTAGGCAAGGAGCAGCATATGGAAGAGTAAAGGACACATAGTGAGCAGAAAATACGTAGGAGGTAGGGGGAGAAAGAAAGGAGTAGTGGAAGTCGGTGGTTTACACAGTAGGAAGAGAAGCAGAACCCCCTGCATCTAGGAAAAAGGTATCTGTAAAGAAATTAGTGATTCCGTTGTGGCTGGAAAAGAATTCGGGAAGAGAGAGGGTCGAGAGAGGGAAGGGGATGCCCGCAGGTGCCCTGGCACACTGGAAGGGTCACACAGCTCTCTCTCTGTTCCTTAAATGAGGATGCTTTTTATTCAATTAATCTATTTTTTCAATGATGGCAACAAAAGGATGAGCAACTGTATCCATGTCAGAATTCCTCATTAATTATGAAGGCAAGAAAATAGAGCAGTGGTTCACAGATTGTATTACTTTCTAACACTCCAGTCTTGCAGCATGTCCCATTTTTCTGTGGGAAGCAGCAGGTCTCTGTGGACAGTGGTGGTCCTGAGGCCAATGTTTCCTCTGCACCTTAAAGGATGATCTTGGACAGGTCATGGTGCTGGTTTTACCTCAGCTGCTCCTGTGTTAAATGCAGATGGTAGCAAGGTCCCATTTTGCAAAGTACCTTTGAGACATGTAGGAGCTATCTGTTCACTTTTGGCTACCTAGGCTGTTTATATTTTAAATTGCCTGTTAGCTTCTTAAAGAAAGGTTGAATAAGGCATAGAATTAAAGTTTTCAGGGAGTCATTTGGAGAAATAATTAACTGACTTTTTAATATTATGTGATTGCAAGTCCTGTGTAGGGTATCCTTCTGTTTTGTAGACGTGACAGAGCTAAGTTCAAGACGTTTTATCCCAGCAAAGTAGAGTCTTGCAAACTTGCTACCTCTTCCACAGCAGAGGCGTCTCAGTGCAGGATCACGGTAGACAGATAGAGGGAAAGAAATGCAGAGATCTGACACTGTGACATAGTGAAGGAGCTTTGTTTTCTTAGAGTGAACTGTTTTAGGAGAACAGTGTTGCCCTGATGTTAATACTCACACACATCACAATCTAGGAAAAAAAAAACATATCACATTAACTGGATCAAAAGAAATGTGAAAATTCATGTAGGTTCTCCATATCGTCCAATAAATTGAGGAGAAATAAAATACAGTCTTGAGATTGAAGAAACCAGAAACAAAGAATGAGACTGCTAACTAAACATCACGTGTGCAGTAAGTTTCCTTCAGGCTACAGTTACCCAGTGACAACGCAGAGATGAAAACATCTCGTTTGGTTATTTAGGCATTTCTTCCTCATACTGGAGTGCTGTCTGGGAATTAAGGATCAAGTCTCTCTTGCAGTGGGCATTGTGTAAAGATCCAGTAAAGTACTTGGTGCCAAAAGTGCTTATAAACTTGAGGGATACAAAAAGAGCACACACTCATTTGAAATTCCATGTGTCGGTGTGTGTCTGTTATGCTATTATGCTATTATAGCATATGGAAGCGTGGAAATATGATTAATAGTAATATATTAAATGTTACAAATATGCAGCTATTAGAGTAGCATGAGTTTTCCTGAGGCAGGAGTGGTGATGGTGTTTTCTTAATCAATTTGTGATCGTGCAGGGAGTGTATTGATCATTAATCTACTGCATCTTTTAGAGAAGTTGAATGCTGAAATCCTTGTCCTCATCTGAATAATAAAAAAATTCATATGCATTTTTCCTTGACACTTTGATTAATTTTTTTTTCATATTTGTAGACAACAAGTTCAGAATACTCAGAATAATATATCAATTCTTTCTCTTTTGCAGAGGGAGACTAAAGGTCAGTTTCTCATAGATCACATCTGCAACTATTACAGCTTGCTGGAAAAAGACTATTTTGGCATTCGATACGTTGACCCTGAGAAGCAGAGGGTATGTATATGAACTCTGACTACATTTGCTTTTAAATAATGCTAAATTGATTTTTTTTTCCTCAATAAGCAGGGAAGTTACAGTGCAAAGTTATGTATCTCTGAAGGATTATGCTCTGGCCATAACCCGTAGAGGTTCCTAAAGTGGCATGTTAAATTATTTTTCCCCTTGGTTCATGTATTTAGTTTCAGGTAAATTGATATGTTCGGATTTGTGTAGTTCTCGAGGGCACTGAAGATAGAAACGATCTATAGGGATGACTCAGAGGCAGCACAGGGTAGCTCTAGGCTCTGGCAGTACACTGGAATTTGGGATTTCTATTTTTCTGTAGAGTATGCTTCTTGGGAGATGTAGGCAGGAATCCTTTTGAGTTTAACAGCCAAAAGCAGTCATTCTATTCCACTTTTCACAGGGTGCATGGACTCAGATATCTGTAATACACAAAATAACGTATGATTTGTCAGGTTGTGGGGGATTCTTCAGGTTAGTTCTCCCTATGAACATATTTGCATTTGTGCAATAAAATTTACAGGCTCTAGGCACTTGCGTGGACAAGTGATCAGTCATCTCTCTTAGGTGGAAAGTGGTGCTGCAGGTTGTATTCTGTAGGCGATTTGCTACAGCTACTCCCTCTTCAGATGATTGCTACTTTTTGAGAGTTAGAAAGGGTGGTGAACAAAGGAAGCAGAATTCCTCAGAGAGTGAAATTCAGAACTGCTTCTTCACTGTGTGGTCCTGGTGGTCTCAGCATTAAGACTTAGATATGACTTTAAATATCATGGGGGCATATACTGTCATTTAATCTCTGGGAACACTCACCAGTTTGAAACTGCTGTGATTCAGGAGGAGAAAAACATTTTGCTGGGTATCTCTTGCTACACCCTAATTAGTTCTGTCAAAAATCACTGGAATTAGGGAATTACCCTCTGCTAAACCGTATAGAATTGGAATAGCTTTGCAAAGATGCAGTGGGTCATTTCCATTGCATTGTCTTTTAAAAATTAAAATAATTAGGACAATAATGAGCAGTTATTCTGGCCAGTGTACTTAATTCTTCACAATCATTAAAATTATAGAGGTGTTCACCTGGTTGGAATTGATAGGAGAAGTAGGTGGAGTGCTGGATTAGACTATAATTAGGTAGGACTTAATGAATACTTTTGTTGGGCCTTTCTCTGACAGTCACTCAAAAACTGCTACAGAAAAGTTATTTTTCTTAACAGTAATCAAGACGTTTTTTAATAAAACCTATTTTTTTGGCAGAATTCTTTAAAAATGTGATGTTTCAGAAAAAACTCTAAAAACCCACTCCCACTGTGATGCCTGATTTATCATACCTTATGTGGTTCCCATGTTTCAAAGAGCTGTTAACTCCTGAATATTGACAAATTCACTGCAGTATCTTATTCTAGTTGGCTATACAGTTGTTCTTTTACCTCTTGTAATATACCTATTTCTGTTTTAAATTTATGGAAGATTATATTGAAGCTTAAGATTTCTCTTGGTTAGTAGTAAAAGACAATTTGAAAACATACTTATGTTTTTACCTAAAAGATCTTAGGTCTTCATTTCCCTTTATATCCAACAACTAAGGAGTCTGTGGCCATCCTGTGTAGTAGGATGGCTTCTATCAGCTGTCCCACTCTTCAGATGGATTTTGTTACGCAAAGTTCCCAATCTTATGTTTTCCATACATGCATTTTTAAATGCTGATCTCTAAGTACTCTCACGACTTTAAGCATATGGATAACTTCTCTAATTGGGTATTAGTTCTCGATTTTAAACTCATGAATTAGGTTGAATTATGAGGGGCATTTCTCTATACAGACTTAAATCTTCTGGATGAGGAGTTGAAAGTAACGTACATTTTTCTCTGAGATCTATTGGGATTCACCAAAATAAGCTACTTTTACATGCAGTATCTTGTATTGTCCCTTTGTCCTGTTCTGATGGCTTGGGTTTTTGTGGGTTTTTTGTAGGGTTTTTTTGTTTGTTTGTTTTTGTTTTCTTTTTCCTTTCCCTCAGAGTGGATATTTCCTCTGCAGTAAACCCTATCTTAAGGACTAAACTGCAGACAAATGTTATAATAAAGGAATACTACTTTTATGACATCTGGATGTTTTGAATCTCTGAACTTGTTGAGTTTCACCTACCTGAGTCTTTCCTCTGTATCAGATACAGATACGTGCATATCTCCCACTCCGATGGAGTAAGATTGTGAAACTATAATTGCAATTCTTCTCCCATCAGTGGAAGACTGTTCTGATCTTTCTCTGTTCTTAAAGAAACATGCTAGTCAACAATTTCCTAGTAGTATAACAATGAGTATGAATAATTATGCTGAGGCCCTGGCATTGTAGCTAGATAAAGTTCATCAGTAGATGGCTCAGTAGAAAACTACAGGACATCTTGATTTTGAAATTATGAGGTAGGTGATGGTTCTTCCCACAGTTTTGTATTTTAGCATTTGTGAGCTCAGCCCACTGAAATTTATGTTAACAACCCCCCCTAAGATTACAGAGGAGTAGTTTTGTAGGTATGTGGTTATAGGGATAAGCTGTAGCAAGTAAAAGATGTACTGGGGTCACAGGAAGAATGTCACATCATCGTATCCACCTTACAGGAAAGAGTACTTGGAGCTCTGTAGAAGCAATCTCCAAAGCTTCATGGAATTCTTGCAGGTCCCACCAAGGATAAAAGGAGGGGCATTTCCTGCACTACCTTCTTACGGGTTGGTTAGATATGTTACAAAACAGAAAAGAAGCTCAATAAAGATCTGCAGGTGGAATTCACCAGGAGCTTCTTTCTATAGTTAAGTCTCATGATTTGACTGAGAACAATTGCTGTGAAGGCAAGTGATAATTCATCCTAAACCAGTTCAGCAGTGCGTGTGACAGTGTACCTCAGTGCCCTGTAGGCAAATAAAGATATGTGGGACAATGAATAAAATGAATATTACTTGGTCTGGTTTTGGCAATATGCCACTGGCATGATGTGGCTATGATAAAAGACAGAACTTTGCTTGCTCTCCTTAGGATTGTATTTTCAGGAAAGTATGAATGTCATTACACCCTAATCACACGTCAGCTATTCTGATCTAGATGTCTGCATTTAAGAAAGATCAATTTAACTGCATAGGGAGAAGGAATATTATAAATATAAAGAGAATAGAGAGTTTGTTTTTTGAAACAATATTAAGAAGGGCGTAGCCCATTTAGTGCAGCAAAGCAAAAGATAAAGGGTATGGTTATACATGCATCAGAGAGTAATGTAGAAAGAAAAAGGAAGTTTAAACAAGAGAGGGGGTTTCTTAGTTAAGCCAATGAGAGCTGCAGCACCTGGAACAGCCATAATGGAGGCAATGGGGCAAGAATTTTAAGGGAGATCTCTATAATTTTATGGAAAGGGTTTATGTTAGACATTGGCAGAGACAGACTAGGCACCACCTTCTGAAGTTTGTTTCAAAGAAAATGTAATAAAAGCTGAAACATGAAAGCAATGAAAACATATTTTTTTTTTCAGAAGAGTTGTTATTGACTCAAGTGTACAATTCCTGCTGCTTTGCCCATTTTCTTGGAAATGTTGAATGCCTCTGTTGTCATTTATATTCCACTGCACAGCCTCTGTCTTTGCACAGAAAAGTGCTCTATCTGTAGTTTCAAATGAAACTGCCAAAATCATGCACTTAATTCTGGCCTTTAGTGAATTATTATTGAATGGCTCTTTGTATAGTTAAGCTGTATGACATAATAAAGTATTATTATATAGTGGACACACACATACATGTATATATATATATTATGCAGAATTACTCCTGCTGGCATTTAGTCTACCAGTGATGCTTGCCTCCCTTTTACTGATACGTAATTTTTTGTGCGAAGGTTGCAGAGTTGCTCCAAAAGCTAATTTGTAGTCCTTTTGTTTTGTAATCTATTGAGGGAGCTCAAGCAGGCAAAAATACCAGCTTTAATTCATCCTAAATGTCTTCTTTCAGAGTATGCTACCGAAATTTAGCATTTTAACTTAGGAGTGTTGAAACACTTGACTGAGTTTGAAAATTTAAAAAATGAACTGTTTCAATATTTCAGGTGTTTTAATTTAAATGTTGCAATATTTGTGTTTAGAACATTCAGAACTTCTGATTATATGAAAAATACAGATAACTGAGCTAATCACTGTAAGTTGGAACAAAATTTTGAAATGTGGGAAAACTCTCATGGGAAACAGCTGTTGTGTTTATAGGTTATTTTCCAAGTAAGTTATAATATATACTCCGTCCTCCCTCCAGCCCCCCTTTTATAATAGTTCTTTCCTTCTGCATAAGTAAACACGTGTGGATTTTAGGCATATTTAGACTTTCTAAAATTTTATATAGTTCCATTTTCTGTTCCAGACCAAAAAGGAAGCTCTGGAAGACACTCTTAACAGAAAGCAGCACAGTAGCTTTTGTTATATCTTTGGATACAGGAGAGTAACGGTGCCAATGACCTCAAATTGAACTAGCAGTTAAAGACTCTGGGTTCTACACCATACCTGGTGTTTTGTCTTCTAGCATCACATTTGGATGTTGCTTTGGGGAAACTGTGCCTTAGTCTAGCTTTGAAAGAGCCAGGATTGTACTAAAAGTATGCAGTAAATTCCAATATGCCATTTTATGTCTAATGGTACTATGCTGGGAACAAAGGACTTCCTAGTACTCGTGTATTAACTGTTGAATTTTTTGCCTGGATTTCAGGGAAAACTGAGTATATGCAATCACATTGCTCTCCTCCCTGACTCTCAACTTCTCAATTTTTGAAGCCAGTTTTGGTCAAATTTGGTTGGAGATACAGGTATCAAACATTCAGTTCCTGTAAGGTTTCATGAATATAAGCTGCTGCACTGGTGGGTAAAACTGTATTTTTCTTCTCACTGAGGGCTGTAAGGCAAACTGATTCCATAGGGAATCTAGAGAGAGCTGAGAGAGAGACACTGTAAGGACCCAGAAACCGTGATTTGGA